CAAATCCCATCTGCCAGGATCTTCATGTTCCTCAGAGCCATTCCCTTCAGGACAAAGTATCCTCTCAGGGGCTGATATGGATCATCACTCACAGCACAACACTGATTGATACTGTACAGAAAGCCCCATCCTAACTGAGTGAGGGGAGGGATGGACGGGGTTAAAGGGGCAACGAACACCATCCTGCCACAGCCTAACAACTTCATAAATTGAGGGACTATTAACCTCAGTTTATAGATTGAAAACCAAGGCATGTTGTTAAGTGCTGGCTGACTCACAGCGACGTTATTATGCACAACAGATGTTGCCCAGTCCTGCACCATTCTCACGCTCATTACCGTGTTTGAGCCCATTGTTGCAGCCACCTTGTCAATCCATCTCATTGAGAGTCTCCCTCTTTTTCACTTACCCTCTACTTTACCAAGCATTCACCAAGTCTTTTTCCAGTGATTGGTCCCCCCAGTGAAATGTCTAAACCCTTGCCATCCTCACTTCTAAGGAGCATTCTGGCTGTACTTCCTCCAAGACTGATTGTTTGTTCTTACGGTAGTCCATGTTACATTCAATATTCTTTGCCAACATCACAATTCAAATGTGTCAATTCTTCTTCAGTCTTCCTTCTTCATTGTCCAGCTTTCACATGCATTATGAGGCAATTGAAAATACTATGACTTGAGTCAGGTACAGCTTAGACATCAAAGTGACATCTTTGCTTTTTAAGATTTTTAAAAATAAACTTCCTTTTTCCCCTCCCTTCCACCCCTGGTAACCACTAATAATTTTTGGTTTCTATATATTTGCTTATTTCATATAAGTGAGATCATACAGTGTTTGTCCTTTTATGACTAATTTTGCTCAGCATAATGTTTTCAAGGTTCATCCATGTTGTGGCATGCATCAGGACTTCATTTCTCTTTATGACTGAGTAATATTCCATTGTATGTATACTATACCATGATTTGTTTATCTATTCATTTGTTGATGGACATTTCAGTGGTTTCCACCTTTTGGCTATTGTGAACGGTGCTGCAATGAATATTGGTGTATAGTTTTCTGTTTGCATCACTACCTTCACTTCTACTGGGTATAAACTTAGGATCAGGATTGCTGGGACATATGGTAGTTTTCTGTTCAACTTTTTGAGGAATCGCCAGACTGTTTTCCATAGCAGCTGTACCATTTTACATTCTCACCAGCCACAAATGAAGGTTCCAGTTTCTGACATCCTCGCCAACACTTGTTATTTTCTGTTTTGTTTTGTTTTTATCATTGCCATTCTAATGGGTGAGGCAGCACCTCGTTGTGATTTTGATTTTCATCTCTTTAATGGCTAATGACATTGAGCATCTTTCATGTGCTGGTTTGTTATTTGAAAATTCTCTTAGGTGAGATGTCGGTCCAGGTCCTTTGCCCATTTTTTGATTGGTTTGTCTTTTGTTGTTATGTTATAGAAGTGTTTACATATACATATATATACACACGTATATATACACACACACACACACACACACATATATAGTGTATTAGACCTTTATCAGATACGGGGTTCCCAAAAATTGTCTTCCTATCTGTAGGTTGTCACTTTATTGATAAAGTCCTCTAATGAACAAAAATATGCTCTGGATCCTCTTTCCAGCTTATCATCATCTGACCTCCAGTTCCCGGGACTTGAGCTATCAGCCTGTCATCTGTAAAAGCAGCATGAGGGCAGTATCTGACCTCTTCTAACTTCACAAGGGGAAAGGAGAATCAAGATCAACAGCCCAAGGCTGATTTCCTATCAGGCAGAGGTCAGACATACCTCCTCTCTCTGCCATCTTTACCAATTCTGACATCAACCATCCCTCCCACGGTATTCTCTATTTCTTTGCTGGGTTAGATAATTCATTGCAATGGCCACACAGAACTAACAGACCATACTCAGGATTATGGGGTTTATTAGGGAAGTAACAGTTACAAATTCAGGCTCAGGAACACTCAGTATACAGTTCTTCCATCAGAAGAGCCTCCTCCCAGCTGTGCTTGCAGGCACACCTCTCCCTGGGACTAAGCATCTGCCAGGAAGCCCACCAAGCCATCTTCTGCTGCCGGGTCTCTGCAGCTGGGTCTACCCTGCCACTGCTTCTGACCGCCTTCAGGGTTACTGCTCACTCTCTCTCTGTCTCCTAGTCCCAGAAGCCTCCCAGTGCAGAGATCCCAGGTCCAAAGGATGCACCAGCAACTGGTTGTTCTTCCCTGGTGGTGGTGGGATTCTCTCTCTTCCACCTCTGGGATGGCTCATTTCAAGCCAGCAGGATGGCAAAACTGACCAATCCTTTGGTGGGCCATAATTACCTATCACATAGTCCCACCCAATCTAGCCAAGACCATGGTTAGAAAGGTCACACAAAAGCGATCCACTACACTGCACATCTGACCTGCCAGCTTTTGGATTCACCACATTCTACAGCCCTGTGAGCTAGCAGCCTGCTGTCTGACCTGCCAGTTCTGGGTTCTTCAGCCCCTGCAACCATGTGAGTCAGGAGATGCCTCCAGCTGATGCCTGACCCACAGAGTATGGGACTTGCCAGCCTCCACAACTGCAATATTTTATTCTAAGAATTTTATGGTTTCAGTTTTACTTTTAGATTCTTGATCTGTTTTGAATTGGTTTTTATGTGTGAATGTGAGGCATGGATTCTTCATTCTTTCTGAAACTTACATTATTAGATTGTTGTAATTCCTTGATTGATAGTGCATTTCTAAAGGGGTAAGGTGGGTAAGTCCCACATTCACTCCTAACTGCCCAGTAAGGATCAGCATGCATCATATTCCCAGATGGAAATGGACTCAGTCTTCACCTTCCCACTTCCCTGTTATTGTCATTGCCAGCCACCCTTGTGGCACTTTCTCTCTCTGACCCTAACCACCCAGAGTTAGGTCAGACCTTACAAGTTAAAGGACATCATCCTTCAGATTGACTGCCTGGGCAGCCGTTCTATGAATTAGCCTCCCTAAGCTAACTCAGAGTTCACAAGTTAGAAGGACCCAGTTTTTCCAACTGCCACATAGGCAGATGTCAACCCCTGCTGGCTCTCATTGCCTGATGTAGTGTCCTTAATTCACCGGAACAGCTCACAGAATTCATGGAGAGCATCTATACTTACCGTTATTCATTTATTATAAACAGAAATGGTACAAATGAAGACATGCATGGGGTAAGATTTGGAAGGGGTCCCAACATGAGGCCTCCATTGTCCCCAGGGATTCACTCCCCTCCCAAGAGATTAGATGTTCTCTCCAATCCAGGAAGCCCCCACCTCAAATTCCTTGTGCATATCCTTTTATTGGCTTCGTTGCATAGTCATGACTGATTGAATCATTGAATGCACATGACCGATAGCATCATGCCCTACTCCCTTCCTGAGGTTAGCTACCCAGGTAGGCTGTGTAGCCCCCATTCATTTGCACACATTCTCAGGTTCTGTCTGGAGATTTTACATAATAAAGGCACTTCCATTACCCAGGAAAACCCCAAGGATTGTCTCTCAACAGCCAAGGACAAAAGGCCAACTTATTAAATCATTACCACACAGATAATTTAACATTCTTGTAGTTTTTCTCTCCTGTTTACCATCACTTTTCCACTTGTACTACTTTGTGGGAGTGCAATTTTTATCTTCTAAATCATCTATTGAATTATTCATTTCTATAACCATATTTGTAATTTCCGAGAGCTCTTTCTTGTACTCTGTTTGGGTATAATTGTATGTGATTCTGTTATTGTTTCATAAATACCATATATTATATCTTTTAGATGTTACTGATGATAGTGGTAGGGGACCATTTGGTCTCCTGGTTATCTGCTTTCATGATATCACGAACTTTTCCCTCTCAGCACTTAGTTCAGTAGTGATTTCACATTTATCTTTGTAATTTTTTCTAAACACCCATCACTGTCATATATGCGAGGTCCTTATCATTGATTTAGAAAATAATATTAGGAATCATTATTCCCTTACCTTGAGCATGGAGAAATATGACCCAGCCGGAGCTGGGCCATCACAGACTCACAAAGATGCATCAACTGGGCCCTGAGACAGACAGTAGATGGGACAATCTCAGAAATTATTTTAAGAAAGTTTTCACAAAAGGGCAATCAAACAGAACACGAAAGACTTCCCACTTTTTGTCTTTTTCTATTAGCATTTAGTGAATAGAAATTTGTTGGGCCAATGAAGACCCTCCTGACTGTCCTTACTGACACTTGTTCCAATGATTGTTAAGAAAGATGATTTAAAATGTAAAATCACAATTTCTAGCCAATCTGTGAAAAGGTGACGCTTTCAATGATTCTGCCCCTTTTGTGATGTTGATATATACTGATGATTCTGTAACCTTCCTCGGATTCAGGCAGACATTCTAGCTCTGGCAGCATGCTTGTCCTCTTCCCACTTTTGTCCTTTTGAATATATACCAAATAAAACTTTATTTTTGCTTTACTAAACTTTATGATGTTTTTTCCCCTACAACATCATCAGGGTCTTCCCTTTACTCTTATTGTATCTCCAGTGTCTATCCAATTTCCTAATTCACTGGAAGCTTTGAACTATACTCTGGATGAATGTCGGTTAGTGTGATTTGGGCAGTTAAGTCACAGTGCCCTTGATGGCCTCCTGAGCGCTGAGCCTAGCGGCCTCCAATCATACAATGTGCTGGGGCATTGAAACGGTTTACTTGCATGGGGTGCAGAGTCATACATACCTAGCCGATGGACAGGGAGTCCACGAAAGATGAGTTAACAAGGATGAGCCCCGCTCCATCGCGGCTACGTGAACAGCACGCAGTTCGTGCGGTTCTACAGCGACTCTGCAAATCTGAGGATCAGCCGCAGGCACCGTGGACGGAGCAAGAGGGGCGCGACTATTGGGACCCGAGACATGGATCGCTAAGGACAATGCACAGTCTTTCCGAGTGAACCTGCAGATCCGGTGCGGCAACTACAACGAGAGCTAGGCCGGTGACAGATGCTAGGCCTGGGTTGCAGGTCACGAGTCCCCGAGTCCCCCGTGGACCACCCGTGGTCTCCCCGGGTCTCCGGTCCGAGTTTCACCCCCAGATCGCAGATCCAACAGGCTCTTTGACCGGGGAAGAGCCGCAGAGATTCGCTCTATTTTTCTTCTCAGTTTAGATCCAAACGGGTTCTGACCAATCACCGCTCTTCAGGGTCGCGGGGGCGGGGCCAGGCTCTCACACCACTCACACTGTGTATGGTTGCCACGTGGGTTGGAAGGGCGCCTCCTCCGAGTGTACGAGCATTACGCCTACGGCTGCGCAGATTACCTCGCCCTGAACCTAAACGAGGAGCTGCACTCCTAGACTGCAGCAGACCAGGCTGCTCAGATGACGAAGTGCAAGTGCGCGCGAGGCTGGTGTGGCTTAGCTCTACAGCTCTATCTCGAGAGGAAATATATGGAGTGGCTCGTCAGATACCTGGAAAAGGGGAAGGAAACCCTACAGCGGACAGGTACGATGGCAGCCTCCCCATGTCCCCTTGGGCTGGCGCAGTTCCCCCAGCTGGCAACCCACAAGTAGGGGAGGAAAATGAAGAAGACACCAGAATACTTCTTTCCCATGGATCTAGAGTGGGAAGAGTCACCCGGGTTTCCAGAGACTTTTCTCCTCTCAGGAACAATAAGGGATCCAGTCTTTCAGGGAGTGAAAGGGGAGACAATCCCTGAAATAAACAATCAGCATTTCTTTGCCTCTGGCAGTGGCCTTGGGAAACACGGGGGACTTCTCTCTCAGGCCTTGTCCTCTGACTCACACCCAACCTCTTTGGAGGTCTGATCCCAGCGTTTCTGAGCCTCAGCCTCCACCCAGTCAGGACCAGAAGTCCCAGTTTTCTCCTTCAGAGACCTGGAGCCTACTACCCTGTGCTGATTCAAGAACTTTCCAAGGAATAGGAGACTATCCCAGATTCCCGGGTCCAGGCTGGTGTCTCAGTTTGGCACTCACTCCCCTATCCCGACTGTCCTGTCCACTCTCAGGATGTTCACATGACTCTTGCTCATGGGAGATGATGGAAAGTTCCTCAATTTTCTGACTCTTCCTCTCAGACCCCCCCCCAAACACACCTGTGACCCATCATGCTATCTCTGACAGTGAGGTCACTCTGAGGTGCTGGGCCCAGAGCTTCTACCTGGTGGAGATCGCGCTGACCTTGCAGTGGGACAGGGAGGACCAAACCCAAGACACAGAGCTTGTGGAGACCAGGCCTGTGGGGTACAGGACCTTCCAGAAGTGGGTGGCCATAGTGGTGCCCTCTGAAGAGGAGAAGAGATACAAGGGGCTGCTTGAGACCCTCTCCCTGAGATGGGGTAAGGCGGGGGATGAGGGTGGAGCCTCTTCTCAGGGAAAGCAAGACCCCTTCTGGACACCTCCAGCAAGGTCAAGGCTGAGGCCTGGGGATCAGGGCCCCTAACCTTCCCTTCCCTTCTCAGACCCACATTCCCAGCTCATCATCCCCATCATGGGAATCATTGCTGATTTGGTTCTCCTTGGAGCTGTGGTCGCTGGAGTTGTGCTCTGGAGAAAGAAGAGTTCATGTATAGAGGTGTGGAGTCTGAGTTTTCTGGACGGTTTCAAGCCTCAGGTAGGGGTTTGCCCATCTCCTGTGTTGTTCCTGGGAGATGCGCTCCATGTATGTTTTGACCCTCTCTGGGTACCTATGTGCTAACACTCTTTTGTAAAGCACATGTGGAAATGAAGGACAAACCTTTCACTTTGATGATTCTGGTTATGGGGAACCTGATTCCTAACAGTGACAGGTCAGAGGGGAAGGTCCCCTGCTGAACACAGACATCCAGAAGGATGGTTGGTCTAGTCCCCACATATCTCCTTTATTCTTGTTTCCTGATCCTGCCAGGGGTATGCATTCATGGTTCTGGAAATTTCTCTGGAGTCCAGGCCTAGTGTGTTCTTCTAGGAGAAGATGATGGAGGAGCTGAGCATGCATTAGCCCTGTGCCCAGTAGGTGCTTAGTGTGTCATGGGCTTTGACATGGTCACTCCTCAACTGTGTCACCTTTGCTGTTGTCCTTGCCCCTTCAGTAGAACCTTCTCCCACCAGGACCTGTGATCACAGAGACTTCAGACATCACCCAGGCCCTATTCTGTCTGCAGAGCAGTGGGCAATGAGGGCTAATGTTGCTGTGTCAGCCTGGACTCAGATCTGACCCAACTCTCAGCTCCCATGGTTTGTGTGTTTATTTTTTGCGTCTTTGTTTTTAAAGAGGAGCATGCCTGTTTTTATTTTTGTGCATAACTTCTGGTCTCATTTTCCTCTGAGTGTGCCCTGTCTCTAATAGCAGCAGGAGTCATTTTACCTGTCATTATCCCCACAAAGCCCAGGGTGGCCCCTGCACACAGGAGTCTCTGTGGTATCGAGAGATGAAATTTCAGACTAGTCCAGCTTTTGCCCTGCTTCTAGAGCTGTCTCCTGGATTGTTCTTTCAATTTTTCCCCTAACCGTTTTTACAGAATCAGATTATGGAAGTAGCAGAGAGGAGGGACTTGATAGTTTCTTGTCTTAGTTAAACTTCTGCTATGTTTCCATCTTCTGCTCACCTACCCTCTCTCCCTGTCCGTAGCTTTAGAAATCCCAGTGCTGGCTTCAGTTCAACCTCATGGATATATAAAGCAGAGTCTAATTTAGATTCACAGATGGTTGGAAAATAGGACTTATATACCTAGAATTGTTTTTCTGAAAAGAGATATGTAACTGTGTACAGGAGGGTGGTGTGGGAGATCAGCCCTGGTGAGAAAAGTGCATGTAACTTTCATGTCAGTGTGAGTGGATGTTGTGCTGTAGCTCTCACGAAACAGCATTTGGTCAGAGGTTACGTTAATAAAGATATAGTCTCCAGAATAGGGAGGTACTCTACACTACACTGATCATTCACTCTACCAACATTTGTAGGGTGCAGGCTAAATGACACACTATTTTTGCATTTGGGAAACTTCAGTGAACTAAATCCAAACCCAAACCAAACTCTGCCATCAAGTCAATTCTGACTCATAGCGACCCTATAGGATGCAGTAGAGCTGCCCTATAGAGTTTCCAAGGCTGTCACATCTTTCTCCCACAGAGCAGCTGGTGGGTTTGAACTGCCAATTTTTTGGTTGGCAGCCAAGCGCTTTAACCACAGCACCACCAGGGCTTCTAGTGAACTGAAGAGAGGCTAAAGTTTCCTGCTGGGTGGAGCATGTGTTACGTCAGGGAGGGACAGGCCATAAACTATAAGCATGGTAAATAAGGAAAATGTTTACATTAGAAGGTGGGAAATGCTATGGGGAAGGGGACATAGAGTGTGAGTGTGTGGGAAGAGGGAAGATGACTGTTGTAAGTCAGTGGTCAGTACAGGTTCTTATGGAGAAGGTGATTTTTGAGGAAAGATTTGAAGTACATGAAGGAATTAGCCATGAGGTTGTCTGGGGAAAGTTCTTCCAGGGGCAATGTCCTGTGCAAATGCACTAGGGCAGGAGTGTGTCTGTGTCCTGGGAGCAATAAGGAGGCCGGTGTGGCTGCAGTGGAGTCAAGGAGATGAGATCAGAGGTTCAGTCAGATCATGTAGCTTTTGGGGTTATTGGAAGATGTTATGGATTGAAACGGGTCCACCAAAAATGTGTGTCAGTTTGGCTAGGCCATGATTCCAGTATTGTGTGGTTGTCTATCATTTTGTGATCTGATGTAATTATCCTATATGTTGTAAATCCTAAACTCTATGATGTTAATAAGGTGGGATTAGAGGCAGTTATGTTAGTGAGGCAGCACACAATCTACAGGATTAGACTGTATCTTGAGTCAATCTCTTTTGAGATATAACAGAGAGAAGCAAGCAGAGAGGAGAAGGATCTACTACCACCAAGAAAGAAGAGCTGAAAGCAGAGAGGGTCCTTTGAACCAGGGTCCCTGCAATGAGAAACTTCTAGACCAGAGGAAGATTAATGACAAAGACTTTTCCCAGAGCTGACAGAAAGAGAAAACCTTCCTCTGGAGCTGGCACCCTGAGTTTAGACTTCTTACCTCCTAAGCTGTGAGAGAATAAATTTCTGTTTGTTAAATCCATCCACTTGTGGTATTTCTGTTATAGCAGCACTAGATAACTAAGACAGAAGGGTTTGACACTTCTGGGAGATGAGCTATAAGACACTTCTGGGCAGAAGAGAGACGTGGTGGACTCCTCTTGTAAAAGGGTCACTGGCTGCTGTGCTGAGAATAGGATCAAGTAGGGCAAGGGGTAAGCAAGGCAGCAGGAAAAATGATGGAAAATTCGGGTGATATTTTACCTAGAGATGTCTGTTGCTTTTCCTGGGGTTTCAGCAGTGAAGACATTAGATTCTGGATACATTTTGAATGGACTTTACAGCATTTTCTAATGGATTGAATATGGGATATGAGAGGAATCAAAGAGGTCACTCAAGATATCAGTCTGTGCAAAGAGGAAGATGGTGCTGCTGTCAGCAGAAGCAGAAAAGATTCTGGAACAAGCCTGTTATGGACTGAATTGTGTCCCCCAAAAATGTGTGTCAACTTGGCTAGGCCATGATTCCCAGTATTGTGTGATTGTCCACCATTTTGTCATCTGATTTCATTTTCCCATGGGTTGTTAATCCTACCTCTATTATACTAATGAGGCCAGATTAGAGGCAGTTATGTTAATGAGGCAGAACTCAATCTATAAGATTAGGTTGTGTCTTGAGTCAATCTCTTTTGAAATATAAAAGAGAGAAAGGAGCAGAGAGACAGGGAGACCTCATACCACCAAGAAAGCGGAGCCAGGAGCAGAGCATGACCTTTGGACCTGGGGTTCCTGTGCAGAGAAGCTCCTAGATCAGGGGAAGATTGATGACAAGGACCTTCCCCCAGAGTGGACAGAGAGAGAGAAAGCCTTCCCCTGGAGCTGACACCCTGAATTCGGACTTCTAGCCTCCTAGATTGTGACAGAATAAATTTCTCTTTGTTAAAACCATCTGCTTGTTGCATTTCTGTTATAGCAGCACTAGATAACTAAGACAGAGCCTGTTTGAGGAGGGCCATCGCAGACATGCAGTTTAGGAAATGTTGAATCTGAGGTGTCTATTAGAAATGCAAGTGAGATTGTCGATAGATATATGAGTCTGGAGTTCAGGAATAATGACTGACTGTAGAAATAGATTTGGGAGATGTCATAGATTGAATTGTGTCCCCCCAAAATATCTGTTCACTTGGCTGGGTCATGATTCTCAGTACTGTATGATTGTGTACCATTTTGTAATCTGATGTGATTTCCTTATGTGTTGTAAACTCTATCACTATCATGTAATAAAATGGATTAGCGGTAGTTATACTGATGAGGTCTACAAGATTAAATAGTGTCTTAAGCCAATCTCTTTTGAGATATAAAAGAGAAAAGTGAGCAGAGACACATGGGAACCTCATACCACCAAGAAAGGAGTGCCGAGAGCAGAGCGTGGCCTTTGGACCTGAGGTTCCTGCGCAGAGAAGCTGCCAGACCAAGGAAAGAATGATGACATGAACCTTCCTCCAGAGCCGACAGAGAAAGCATTCCCTTGGAGCTGATGACCTGAATTTGGACTTGTAACCTACTGGTCTGTGAGAGAATAAACTTCTCTTTATTAAAGCCATCCACTTGTGGTATTTGTGTTATAGCAGCACTAGATGACTAAGACAGGAGACAATGCCATAGAAATATTTAAAGCCTTGAGAATGGATGAGATCTCCAAGGGAGTGATTAGCTGGAGAAGAGAAAGGAACAAGGACTGATCCCTGGACCCTCCAGTATCAAGTGATCTCACCAGACCACACACCAGGAGCAGACTGATGAGTTCTGGCACAGCATCTAGAAAGCGTGGAGACCAAAGCGTCCCAAACTTTCTATGCATCGGAATCACCTGGAAATCTCACTAAGATTCAGAAGGTCTGGAGTACAGAATGAGATTGTATATTTATAACAAGGTTGGAGCTGATGCTGCTGGTCTGCAGATCACACTTAGAACCAAGAATGTAGACCAGAGATTTCCACATGGTCTGCATCATCCCCATCTGTGTTGTTGTTAGATGCTGTTGTTGTTAGGTGCCTTGAGTTGATTTTCATCTCATAGTAACCCCACATGACAGTGTAGAACTGCCTCATAGGGTTTCCTAGGCTATAATCTTTATGGAAGCAGATCACTAGCTCTTTCTCCTGCAGAGCTGCTGGGTGGGTGCAAACCAACCTTTCAGTTAGCAGCTGAGTGCTTAACCATGAGCACTTAACCATTTGTGCCACCCAGGAATTCCAGGGTCTTTAAACCACATTAAAAAGTTATTTCTTCTGAGAAGGAAAAGGAAGAGCATATATTGTCAGTTATGAAACATGGTGTTGGGAAATATATGTTGTGGGGTTTACATTGACTTTACCCAAAAAAAATTTGTGTTTATTTTTGGTTCCTGAGAGATCCTTGGGATTTCCTGAGTAATTCAGGTGCTTTTGTTATCTGTAGGCCTCCAGCCCACACCTGAGAGGTGACTCAGGTAGGGGCTGGCATGCCAGAAATACCACCCCATGATAATCAGCTGACCTCAGAAAAGGTGGGCTGATTCAATCAATCGTAAATACGTAATGACACCCCAGTAAGAGCTCTGAACACTGAAACTCCATGAGCTTCCCGGTTGGTAAAAGACATCAATGCACGTGGGAAGGTAGTGCACCCCTTTTGGATTATGGAAGCTTCATGTTGGGAACCCTCCCAGACCTTATGCTATGTGTCTTATTTGCAACTTTTTCCTACAATAAGGCAGTGATCTTAAGTATAACATTTCTGTGAGTTCTGTTAGCTATCCTAGCAAATTATAAAACCCAAGTGAGTAGTTGGAGCCAGCAGATCAAAAGTGAGGGGTCTGGGGACCCCAGAGCTTATAGCTGGTATCCTGAGGGGACAGGGAAGACCCCTAAGTTTGTAGCCAGCAGGTCAGAGGTGAGGGAATCTGGGGGATGCCCTTGAGCTTGCAGCTGGCATTCTAAAGATGTAGTGGGAAAACCCATAATTGGTAGTTAGCAGGTCAGAAGTGAGGGTGATGTGGGCACTCCCAAGCTTGCAGATGGCATTCGAGGTCTTTGGCAGTCTGGAGGGCTGTGTCCTTTAACGTACATGAGATCTGACCTGGCTCCAGGTAGTTAGGGTCAGAGGAAGAAGTGCTGTATGTACAACTGGTGTTAGAACAGAAGTGGCAGTAAAGTGGGGGTTTGATAAATCCTTACACATGTCATTTTTCTATACCAAGCAATGTAGCCAGGTGGAATATTTAGGAAGTTGTTCACAGCTCAGCATAAAGAAAACCTCTGAATGCTTGCTCTCTGAAACTATTCCCCATACTGATTTCTCACTCACTTTGTACAAACAAGGGAATCCAGGTTTTTCTAATTTAAACCCAAAGGAATTTATATATGTGATATTGTGGGCTCATCTCATTTTGTGGAATTCCACAGAACCAGGCTTAATACTACACATCCGGGAACAGAATCCGCATTCCCACCCTCGCTCTGGTCCCATATAGAAACCACAGCTCCTGCTGCTGGGTCAGAGGCTACTGACCACACCACTTACACCGTTGATACTGGATATTGGGACCTGTGGCCAGGATGCTCTCACTGCTGCTCCTGACAACTGGAGGTCACTACTGCTGCTCACGCCACCCTTGCCACAGTGCATTCTGCACGGTCCCAGCTTCTCTATGTCACCACGTCCTGAGTCTGTCTGGCATGTGATCATGTGACTGGTGGAACCCATGTCCATGTCCAACTGCAGGAATGTTTGGGAAAGTGAGTTTTCCTCTTTTCTGGATGGAGGTAGTCTCTGTCTCCTACCTAGACTCTTTAAATGAGGAATTTCCCATAAGGTAGGAGAAGGTTTCAGGTTCTGGGAGGGGAGGGGAGGTGAAGGTTGGGGATAGAAAGTGAATGACCAATGTCAATTCCTGGAGCAGTGATCTGAGAGTAGAACTTTACCATCCATGTTGTAGGCACTTGGTGTGGTTGGATGAAAGAATGACTAGTAAATGATATCTTTCCACTAATTTTCTTGATAGTCTGTTACAGGGTCCAGTTTTTGTCTATGAGTTTGTACTCTCAAATAAATGCAGTAGCATTGTGGGATGACGAATTGAGTACTCAAAATGTCTCCTTGACTTTGCCTCTTACTAAGATTAAAAAACCCAGGTCTATTACTTTAGAGGATCTATGTGTGCACTGACATTTTATGTTAATTTTTAAGTTTTGGCACATGCACATATTTCTGGGGAAAGGATCCATAACATTTACCAGTTTTCATGTGAACCTCACTGTTTTAGTTACCATGTGTTGGTATAACAGAAATACCACAAGTGGGTGGTTTTAACAATGAAAATTTTTTTTTTCTCACTGTTTAGGAGGCTACAAATCTGAAATTAGGGGACCGGCTCTAAGGGAAGTCTCTCTCTCTCTCCCTCTCTCCTCCCCCTGCTCTGGGGAGAGGTCTTTGTCTCTTTTCAGCTTTTGTTTCTTAGTTTCTTGGTGATATTCATGTGAAGATTTATCTATCTTCTCCCATTTCTCCTTGTGCTTTTTCTTTGCTTGTGTGATGGTTAAGATTGTGTGTCAGCTTGGCTGGACTGTTATTCTCAGTGTTTTAATGTGATTTCACTCCCATGATTGAATATACTGTGAGTAGCCAATCAAATGAAAGGGAGTCTCCTTGGGGGTGTGGCCTGTATCTGAATATAAGCAGACATTCCGGCTTTTTGCTCTCTCTGGATCCTGCAGCTGCCTCCTGTCGTTTCATCTCTGGTTCTTGGGACTTGAGCTGTTAGCTTATCTGCCGAACTTGGGATTCGTCGATCTGCACAGC